TCTACCAAAATACCCAAGTAATCATAAGAATCATCAAACTCAACAGGAACACCATTTGAAGATAAAATAGAAGGAATAATTGCTGGGATTTACTTCCTGTTTCAAAACACCATCCCTTTGGTTTTATCAGCATTTAGCACAAGTGTGAGATGAAACAAATCTGACTGGATGATGTTGAATGCAGACTGTAAAGGCTGGAAAATCTTTGCAACTGTTCTAGCTCAACAATAAACAACTGTGCCGTTTGCATAGAAATGTAAGGATGCATCAGGAATGAACTGACCTTACATTACTTATGCAGATTGTAAAGAGAGTGGGTCCCAAGACTGAACCTTGTGGTACACCATTGCTAACAGTTAGATAACTGGAAGAAGTATCATGTTGAACACATTGCCTCCGATCTGAGAGATAATTAGAGAATTATCAACCATTCTTTAGTTATACCACCTTCAGGTTGTTAATATGTTCATTAAACACTTTACTTTGACTGAACTGTGAAGTAAGTAGCAATAACATTTGAACCCCCTTTTGTTGATTCTTTCCAAATTTTACCTTGAGCCACACCATGACAGATTCCTCACTCCAGCTGAGATCTGTCACACTCTGTGCAGCACACACCCACAGACATGTAAACAAATAGAAAGGCCTGTTTAAGTGAGTAAGCACATGTCACTGCATTGACTGAATTGTCTTGTTAATCCTGAAATCCATAAAATGACCTCATCACCAGCCTGGAAGAAAAACAAATAATAACCAAATTTTAAAACCTGCTCAAAGCTATAGGTTTTATTACGTTCAGAGAAGCCACTGAATAAGACTTGCAGAAAAGTGCCATAATCGATAATCCAACCATCAAGGAGAAGATGTGTACAAAGATTTTCATCTACACTTGTCATTTTCCACTGTATTTTTTGGGCTTATGAACAAAATGAATTCTGTTCAGGTGTTGAAACAACTCATAAAAACACTCATACCAATCATCTATTTTGGCTTGGCTACACTGGCTATTCGTTGTTTGAACAGTCTGTACAGATCTCCACTAAAAATGTTTCCACCTCATTCTCAGACATTTACCTCAGCTACGGCTGCCTCTCTGCCGACCTTCATTTCACATGCGTCTGACTCTTCAGACCTTTTTTTAGCTCTGGTTGTCAGGGTTTGCTTAATGTTGCTCAAAACGGTGAAAGAAAGAGAAAAAAGGTTGGATTTTGCAGTGCCATAAATTCTGTTTCTCAAACTGAGCTGGCAGCCCTTTATTTTTCCACTTTGTTCCTTTGCGAGTCCCGAGGACAGTGTGGTTTTTCTCAGGCCTCAAACTGAGTTTTAACCTCTTGAATCTCTGTCTGTTCTCCATCCTAATATCAACAATGATCCCAGATCATAGGAAAACTCTTAAATCTCTCATGGCTCACAAATCTGACTCAGAATTTAAAAAAAATATAAGACATTTTAGCTCTTTAAAACATTCTATCTGTGATTTTTGTCCTTATTGGGGTCTGACTGCATAAGTTAGCAAGTTTTTTTTTTTGTTTGTTTCATTCTCAGCTACAATATTCTCAATTAGCTTTTTTCTGTTTCACACGCTCCCTCACACACAGAAATACAGGCCTCTTCTTTCCTGGGGGGGTCCAGGAGATTAATTTGCTGAGACGAACACTTTAATCTAGGGAATGTAAGCCCAACACAGACTTTACTGCCACACTGCTGTGGTCTTATTAGTGGTATTTAAACACATGTTACTCTAGAGGTAATTGTAAATTATTTTCAAATATGTTGCTTTAGATTATTGTTGCAACAATTAGATAGAAAAAAAAATGTTTGATTCACTTATGCTTTAAATAAGAGTTGCTATAAAGTAAATTTGATAAGCTGGTGCTCTTTATTATAAGTTTAATGAAATTAGAATAGAAGTGGGGCTGTCAACCTCTGAACTTTGATTTAAGCTGCAGCTACTCTTTTACTGTAATGCTCCTCTTCTAAAAGTAACCGGGTTGGAAACCTGCTATACCTATTGTTGTTGTTGTTGTTGTTGTTGTTGTTGTGATGTCATTTTAATGTGAATTTCATGAACTGACCATGCTTGAATAGACAGGACAGAGAGAACCATTCACAAATCAAACAGCATCAAATTGTATCTAAATTGTTCTTTTAAGTTTGATATTTTCTCTGAAAATGAACAAACTCTTTATCAAGTTCTAGTACCAGGTAAATAAGATATGAAGGTTTAGGCATGTATGAAATACATCATATGTATGTAGTGTACTTTTGTTGGGTAAAAAGTAAGACATAAATTAGGGAATTTTCAATTATTGGAGTATGATACAGTAGGCCGGTAAGGTGGTGCTGCATCGCAGCGAGAAGGTTGGCAGTTCAAATCCCAGCAGGGGATATTTCTGGGTGGAGTTTGCATGTTCTCTCCGTGCATGCGTGAGTTTTGTCCAGGACTTTGGTTTCCCCTCACAGACCAACAACATGCATGTTAGGCTGATTGGTAACTCTAAATTGTCCCTAGGTGTGAGTGAGACTGAATTGTTGTTTGTCTTGTTTGTCTCTATGTGTCCCTGTGATGGACTGGAGACCTGTCCAGGGTGACCCCCACCTCTCACCCAGTGACTGCTGGATATGGGCACCAGTGACCCCATGTGACCCAAAAAGGACGAAGCGGATAAGATATTATGGATGGATGTTGTATGATACATATTATGAACACTTATTCTGCTGTTAAAATGGTTCATTCGAATTTTTTACTAAACTGCAAAACTTTTACATTTGTATCATTCACATTTTTATTTGTACAAATGCAGAAGTTCGCTTGTCAGAAAACTGATCAATAAAGGTTGTTTGAAACATTTAAATCAAGAAACACAGACACATTTGAATCCTGAGCTAAACAGAAAACGCAAACCTGATGTATGTAGAGTGAAAGTTGACAGAGTTGTCATAGCTCTGCTCTCTGTCAGCTCCTCTGTCATGCTGCACACTCAGTAATCACTCAACTCATGTCACCTGTCACCGCTCATTATCCCACAGCTCCACCACCTGGTCCAGTCAGTACTTAAGCTCACTCATTCCTCTCAGTCTGGGCCAGATTCTCTATCCTGTCTCATCAGCAGTAGACTTTCCAGCATTCCATTGATTGACTCATCACGTTCATGACCCTTGCCTTGACCACGACCACGCTTTTGCCTCAGCCCTCGTCTGCTTTTGCTCATCTGATCAGGTACCGACTCATGCTCTTGTTTTTTGACTCTCTTTTTGGATCACGTACTGGATACTTCTGCTGAACAACTGACTTCACGGTATGAACTCTGCCTTTCCCTTCTGACTGTTTTTTGGATCACGGATTAAAGGTCAAGCTCATTCTGTATCACGGACTTATCCTTACCCCTGAATCTGATTCCCACAGATTCATTTCCCCAATTAGTCTCTTTCCCCCTGCATCTACTAACCTTTATCTTTTAGTTGCAAGCCTGTTGGACTCCGTTCCAGTGGACCTTAACATCAGTTCTACTTCTACTGGCAGCCCGCCACTACAACACTACCCAATCACGAACTACCAATCAGAAGATCGGAACCAGCCCAGAACCGGACCTACTCCAGAGTTTTACTTTATTTCACAAATCTTTTAACCCTCTCAGTGGTTGTTGTTTGCGATCCGGCCTCTGGTTCATGACAAGAGTGACACAATGTTTGCCATCAGATATTTTTGAAGATGTCTAAATCTAATTTTGGCAACCACAACGAGCCAGTCGACCTATTAATATACTGTAGTGTACTGGGAACCAGCAAGAGGGACAGGTATGAGACAATATGATGGATTGAAGATATTTGGTTCAAATCTACACTTTATGTTGCAAGTTCAGGTTGTGGGAGGAAACTGTGAGAAGTACAGTATCTCACTGTCTTTCCAGAGAAATAAATAAAACATCCAAATGTTTTGCTGCCAAGTCAGCAGTAAACCAGTGCTGACTTTTTCTTTTTCTTTGTCATAAAGTTGTTCATCTTTATAACATCAATAAGTGAGGTCAATTCAGACAACTAAACTAGAATAAAGCTTTGCTTAAGTGGCTGCAAACATTTTGCATTAATGCATCATACAAGGTTACTATACTTTCCGCCTTAAAGTCGCATCAGTCCAATTATGTCTAATAAAGTGGGGATAAAACATAAATACGTCGCTTCACCTTATAAGTCGCATCTGTTATGCGTCATCGCTGACGTGTCGCGTTTGTTATGAGTCACCGCTGACCACCCGGAAATGTTGGCCGGTGTTGTGCCAAAAATCGATTGGCTGCCAAATGGAAGCTGCGGGAGCGCACATGGGAGGACGTTAACAAGAGTTTAACTAGATTACCACCTAAAAGCAATTATTTGTTTGCTCGACATTATAGCAAAGGTGTGTCTCAGTTGAACTTTTCCTTAATAAATGCACTTTAATGGTCAAATCAGCTGCATTTCACATGGGCGGCGCGGCGAAATGAAGCTCCAGAAGTTCCAAAGCGAGACGAAGGTGGCTTTGTATGGCAAGCCATGTGTCATGTGCCACTTTTAACTATTAATGAGACGCTTTACTTGCCATATTTGTCGAGGGCCCTCTAGCGGTTGAATATGGTAGTGTTCAATATTTTCCATGTCAGAATGATGAAATCGTCAAATCTCAGTCAAAAACTGGGTTATAAATATTGGAAAAAACATAAAGACGTCGCTTTGGACTATAAGTCACAGGACTTGCTAATTTATGCAAAAAGATGCAACTTATAGTCCGATAAGTACGGTAATCCCATAATCCTACTGTACATGTGATCAGGTGTAAAACCAACAAGGTGAACGTAACTTCAAGATGAAACAGTCTGAGATCACATGAATAAATTGTGCACTCTTTAGGAACAACAAAACAAATGGGCCAAACTAATCTAAAGAAATCCATGTGAAGTTGCTGCTGGACACAAGAGCAAAACGTTAACAAGCTGTTGAACTTTATATATTTCAGACTCTCCTACCATTTTTCTTCGCCTGCAGCCACGTGTTGTTGAACAGTGTATCCAAACTGGGCTTGTTTAGGTCCTTTTATGATCCGGGGCTGTTTTGTGTCAATGGTGAAGCAGTCATCGAGCCCTTCAAAGAAAACAAGACTTTACATCAGTAGGCATAGAAGAAACCTGACGTGCAGGAGTTCACATTTTATTTGCATGTTTTTTTTCAACCGACGTGAACAAATAAGAGTATTTGTTGAAAAGCTTTATCGAACGCATGCGTGCCAATTTTAACTTGACTCGTCTTTAGATTCCTGACAAACACTGATTAACCTACAAAAGAACATAAACTCCATGATTAGTTAAAAACAAATAAGTCCAGCTCTCTGGTTCCTGTTGTCATGTGACTAAATAGACTCAGCACTGATCTCTGTTTTGATAGAGTAGTTAGTAGGCGATGAAATGTGACCTGATGTGTACGAGGGTGAAAAGAAATATTTGCCATAGAACTGATCAAAGCAAATTCGTTCTCCCAAATGTGTACTTGAATTTCTTTCACTTTTGAAGACGTCTTGCAGAGGTGGTTAAAAAAAAAACAGAACTTTGAGCATCTGGTTTTAATTATAACACCAATCAGTAGGGTTTTTGAGACTCAGCATGTCATCAAGTCACACCTTATTAATAGTGATGGCAGCATTTGACTTTTAAATTTCTTTGGATCTTTATGAGAGAATGGAAAGTTACTGAACTGTATATTTTTAGCTAAAGTTGTGGATTAGTCATTCCTCTCTGGTCATTTGTCTTTAACACAATATTGACCTGATAATCTAGTGTTGGTTTAGGTTAACTACTGTAAGTTGAAATAACACACTACAACTTGTTAATATTCAAAATGACAAAATAGTCCAAGTTTCAGATAAAACTATGATTCAGTTTATTTATACAGCGCCAAGTCACAACAGAAGTCGTCTCAGGGCACTGAACAGAAACATTCATAGGCAGTATATTTAAAAATTAATTTAACACTATTTATCTGAGGAGCAGACTGCTTTGAATTTAACTCCATCGCAGACTCTCATCTTGAGCAAACATGAAGGCGACAGTGGAAAAGAAAAACTCCCTCCTGAGAAAGAAACCTTTAGCAGAACCAGGCTCAGTACAAGTGGTCGTCTGCTTCGACTGCTGGGTTTGAGAGGAACAGATACACAATGGCAGATGACATGTTAAGATAGAAATAGTATAAAATGAAAACTATTCAATTTTAACAATTCATTTAAAAAAATGAGGTCAATTTGTCCTCCAGTAGTCTAAGCCTATAGCAGCATAACAAGCCAACCCTACCTATAGATTTATCAAATAGGAAAGCCTGAAGTCCAGTCTTCAAACTGGAAATGTGTCAGCCTCATGGACAAAAACTGGAAGTTGGTTCCACAAGAGAGGAGCCTGATAACTGATAGATCTTCCTCCCATTCTGCTTCTGGAAACTCTAGGAACCACAAGTAAGCCTGCAGTCTTAGAGCAAAGTTCTCTGTTGGGAAGATTTGGAACAATAAGTTATCTCTTGTATATCTTTCTTGTTATCTCTTTTTTAAATGAGTCCTCGGGGCTCAATGAGACTAACCTGTATAAATAAAAGTTGAATCTAATATAAGATGGAGCTAGGTTGTTGAGAGCTTTGTAGGTTAGAAGTAAGATTTTGAATTCAATTCTGAATTTGACAGGGAGCCAATGTAGAGAAGCTAAAACTGGAGAGAGATGATTTCTCCTATACAAACTCCAGTTAACCCTGGATGGCTTTAACACTCAGGCGGCTGAGACAAGCTGTTCTGGGAAGCTCAGTTCTCACCTCCTTCTACAGGTGTGCAGTGGAGAGCATCCTGTGCTCCAGCATCAACGTGTGGCATGGAGGCTGCACAGCTGCAGAAAGAAAAGCTTTGCAGAGAGTGGTGAAGGCTGCACAGAAGTCTGTTGGAGTCAGCCTCCCCACCATCACAGACATCTACACCTCCAGATGCAGGAAGAGGGCCACCTGCATCATGAAGGACCCCACTCACCCAGCACACACACTTTTTGCCCCGCTCCCCACAGGCAGGAGGTTGAAGAGCATTAAGTGTAGAACCACTAGACTGAGGAACAGCTTCTACCCTGAGGCTGTTAGACTCATGAATCTTTAACCAGAATAATCACTGTGAAAAAAAAATCACTGTAATGCCACTTGATTGTTGATATGTTCTGCTGATTATCCACGTTGCTGATCTCATGCTGCTGATTTATTTCATGCTGCTGTGTTCATTCATACTCTGCTCACACAGACTCATGGTCATGCTGTTGTGTGGCGTATTTTTTGTACTAATAGTGCTTAGCATATTTCTTAGTTCATATTTTAGATCTTATTACTGTTTTTTTAACAATTTATACTTTTGTTGGGTGTAACTGGGACCCTGTGTACACAATTTCATTCCATCATGTACCACACGTGAATATAGGAGAACACTGAGATCATCTAATACATTTCTACTCTCTGTCCCAAAATCCAACTCCAAACGATGGGGTGACCGGGCCTTTTCGGTTGTTGCACCCAGACTCTGGAACCAGCAACCTCAGGACTTACGCTCCATCACTGACATGGAGAATTTTAAATCTAATCTTAAAACCTTTTTATTCAGGCAGGCTTTTAATACCTAGTAGGTCTTTGACAATTTTGCTATGTTTTAATTGTAATTGTTTTTGTTTTTAACTGACTGATTTTTTATTCTTGTTTGTTTTTAACTTCTGTACTGTGCAGCACTTTGTGCACCTTTTGGCTGCTGGAAAGGGCTCTATAAATAAAGTTTGATTGATTGATTGATTGACCACATGTGATGAGAATGACTATAAAGAAAGCTTGACCTTGACCTTGACCTTAAGACTCTGGCAGTGGTATTTTGGAATAACTGAATACTTTTTAAAAAAGTATTTGGACACCCAGATAATAAACCATTGCAGTACACATGTGAAGAAAATAAAACAGAAAATTAATTTAATGACACTTGTTGCTCAATGATGTACAAAATACATCTTCTGTATATATTATTTAGATCAAGGTTGAACTGAAAGAGTTTTCTCACAGTCTGAATGAGGGCAGGAAAACTTCTGCTTTCAGCTTCCACAATCTTCCCCACTGCGTTTATCTCTGAGGCTAGTGCCCACATTCTGTTGGGTTTATTCACTCTCTTGGCATAACGCTAAACATCCCCACTTTCAGGCAATTCCCCATCTGGAAGAATCCTGTATTGTTAAGTCAAGTCAGCCTTTCCCCCCTGACAGGGGAAACTCTGCTAAATGTAAGCAATGAGATGAAGACTTGACAAACAAAACTGGAGACATGTTACAAATTATTCCTTAAAAAAAGCAAAGTTTCCATTCAAGTCAGTAGTACCTGTGCAGCCCAGTTATTAACCATGGCAGTGAAGCAGGCATGTTCAGAGCCAGATTTCTCTCTATCCATGTCTGAAGTACAGTATGTGTGTCCATAAAGGCAAAATGAGTTTGGGACGATTACTGAAGCACAAATCACCACAAACTGCTCACTGTCGATATGAGTGCAGCACTATCATGTTAGTTAGAACTGGATGATAAATGTAGATATGGCTAATGAAACATGGAGGACAATTTCACTTCAATTCAATTCAGTTTATTTATATAGTGCAAAGTCACAACAGAAGTTATCTCAGGACACTGAGCAGAAACATTCATATACGTAAAAAAGCCATTGACCGTATTTTCCGGACTATAAGTCGCTCCGGAGTACAGGTTGCATCAGTCTAAAAAAAACTCATGAAGAGAAAAAAAACAAAATATAAGTCACTTGAGAATAAGTCGCATTTATTTAGACGTGTATTTCACAAAGTGCAAGAACAGACATTTAATCTGAAACAACAAAAACACTCTGAACATACCTGGGATCCTGAACAGGCTTAATTAACGTAACAAGCCAACGAGTCCGACAAGCAAGTTACTGGTAAATTTACCGATCTCATTCCACATCAGTCTCATCACATAATTTTACTTGTGTTATATTTTTCTCAGTTGTCTCCAAGTGAATGTTTGGGGGGTAAGGTTAGCGGTAGAGTAAAAACATACAGTTGTCAGGCTTTTGACAACTATATATTGCCTAGAGGGCCCTCTCGAGGCTGCAAATGTAATGTTTACTCTTTGGTTCATGTCAGTATGAATGAACATTTAACACGTCAGTCAAAAATTGCATCATGAGTAGGGGAAAAAAATAACATAACTAAGTCGCTTCAGACTATATGTTGCAGTACTGGCCAAACTATGAAGAAAAGTGTGACTTATAGTCCGGAAAATATGGTAATTAAGTTATCTATCTAAGGAAGCCAGCAGATTGTATTTCACTTCCCACTTTACTCACAAGACTCACTTTGTTTTTGACATTATAATGTTTTTGCTCCTCCTCATCCAAAGTGTCAGTGTCCAAGTACTGATCAAGTAGATCAGAGGATCAGATCAGAGGCCGTGTGATTCAGTCCAGTTCATGTGAATAAGAAAGGAAATGCAAATCACCAAAGAAGTTATAATTTGATAATGTCAAGTTGATATTGACTTATCAGTTGGGTGTCAATGTTTTGATCATTGAGATTAATATTGTGTGGTTTTCATTCTTTACTGCAATTCTTCTTTAGCAGATCTATTCACACTAATGAACAAACCCCACAAAAAATGTTCACAATAAAAATCAGACATTTTACAATATATTCACTGCATGCAATAAAATCAATGTTAAAATATGTTTAGTTGCATTGGCAGCGTAAATAAAGTAACTACAGCAGCATGTTTTACATAAAACAAAAATTCCCATTTTACCTTTAGGTCATAGAGACTTCATAAAAGCAGCATGAAGAGCAAACCCAGGCTCTCTTTATTGCACAGCAGTGGAGATTTTCCCATTTAGGAGTGCAGCTGTTTGCATTTTGAAATGCAAAGAAGAAGGTGCATCTTGAGCAGCTGCATCGCTCCAAGGAAAATGGTTGATTCACTAAAATGGGAAATGATTTGCATTCCTCAGCTAGTAAATGTTTAGGCTGTCTAAACACACAGCAAGCAAAATATCCACTCCTGCCGCTTCCTTTGTGTGTCTTTGTA